GAATTATATTCGCACAACACTGGAAAAATGAAGAAACAGCTATAGATCAAGAAATAATTACAAAGATATTGGACTGCGCCGAATTGGATACACTGACATTGAAAATCAAAGGAAAGGAAGGTTCAGAATATTATCAAACACGGAACTTGTTTTGTCAATGGTTAGAAACACGTTGTATAAATTAGGAGCTTGATATGTATTGTAGATTTATTGGCAAATGATTGTGGGTTGCTGAACCCAGGTGACACGATGTTAAATAAGCATAGATGGAATTTATATATTATAATAATAAAAAGAAATTTTTTTAAAAAAAGGACATGGATTGGTGAGAAAACCCCCCATTTAGGATGTGCTTTTTTGCTTCTGAGCCTCCATGGCAGTTATTTCTAATGTGGCATTTTTTAAATCTCTTTTAGTATTTGAGCCTCCATGGCAGTTATTTTTAATGTGGCATTTTTTGATCTCTTTTAGTATTGGTATATTTCCCTTTTTTAGTTTTAATGATTGTCTTTTCACAATGCAAGTCCCTTTGGGTCCTTTTTAAGGATGGAGGGAGGGCAGGAAGGATAACTTTGACTTCCGAATGTGCCCTGCTGAGAAGGAGCCAGGGGCGAGGGCTTTGGACTCTCATGCCCAGTTATGTGGCATCTTGAAGACCTTGGGCTGGACCAGTGACAGAAATGAGAGATTTGCCTCTGGTCCAGCAGGGCCTGTGCGATGGTCTCAGTTTCCCTGCACAGCGAACGTGCACGGTGTGTGCCAGAAGCATTTTGGCCAGACAAAGGCTTCTGGAGGTTGGAAAAGAAGGGGACAAGATGGGGACAGCCTAGAGGTGTCTAAAGTAGTTGTTGTGGGTTTTTCGAGCTTGGGTGTCTACTTTTTAAAAACAGAACTAAGCAAAACCTCCTCCAAAGGGTTGCCTTCTGTCATAAATGACTCGACAGCACACACTCCTTATTGTTACTATTGGAAAAAAATACCAGGCACAGACAATCAAACATAAAAACATTGACTGGCATCATCATACCAAAAAAATCACCACCTTTTCTAGTTTCATGGTACTCCATTGAATCTTGGAGGGTGCATACATTTCCTATAGGGCAGTGGTCCTCAACCTTGGGTCTCCAGATGTTCTTGGACTTCAATTCCCAGAAATCCTGGCCAGCAGAAGTGGTGGTGAAGGATTCTGGGAGTTGTAGTTCAATAACATCTGGAGGCCCAAGGTTGAGGACCACTGCTATAGGGGGCTCAGGAGAAGAAGCAAGAATCTGGGTTAAGGAGGAAAAAGGGGGGGGAATCCCACTCTTCAGGAAAACATCACTAGGGCTGGCTTTGTGATACAGTAAAACTGGAACCACAACAAGAATTAACACAAAAAGTACTAAATTTCCTGGGTCCTGAGGAGCCGAGGTAATATAACCCCATACATCCCATAAAGAGTTCAGATACACACAAACACTCAATTTCTGCAGAAGGACCATAAATTCTGAAACAAAAAATACTGTATATGTGTTTCAAAAACCATCTCGAAAGCCAGGGAATGACTCGCTCTGGATCGACCAAGAGTTAAACGGAGTAAGGTTTCCTAGAGAGGCGGGGTAGGAGGGAAAGCAATCAAGGGCGAGAAAGGGGGGCGAGCGATGGGCTTGGAGGGTCCCGGGATCTCCCGCTTTCCCCAAAGGGCTCCTTTTGTTCCTTCTTCCAAGCCCTCATTTTGGCTGCTCGGGGGACCCGATCCACCTTTTCAAGAGCAAACCTACCTGTGCCATCCGTGGACTTGCACGGGCGATGGCGGGGGCAGCAGAAACAGCCCCCTGTGCAGGCTGGGCGGGTTTTTCTTTCCTGGTTGCCAACTGACCGGGGTGGGACAAGTGCCTCGGTCTGTCCCGGTGGCTTGACCAGCCTTTGCCTCCGTTGCCAGCCTGGAAAGGAGCCGGAGAGGAGACGCCTCAGCCGCTAAAGGGTGCGAAGGAAAGGCTTGCCTTGAAAGGCAGAAAGAGCCCAAGTAAACCATGTTCAATGGGGCTTCATTGCTAGATAAGCGAGTACAGGATAGCAGTCTCAACTTACTTATTTACATTTTTATTTGAAAAAAAATTTACCTGGCTTTTCTCCCTAAGAAGGACCTAAGGTGGCTATGACGGTTAAAAAAACAATATAATCAAATCCAAAAACAGTAAGTATACAAATACTAAAAAGGATCAAACAGATACCCAACAGAAAGACGGTAAACAAAAGCAGTATCAAAAAACACATTCAAAGATATCTATTATAAAAATGGCTTAAATCAATTAAATGTAATGACTATACTCCTGTTGGGAGTTTGGATAAGCTTTGTGATGAAAGTGCAGGGGACCATTTCAGTCTCATTCCTGGTCATCCATGGCTTTATGCAACTAACTTGTGAACCTCATAAATTACCAGTAAATAGCCACAGCAAGGTAAGCAAAGTTTTACATGCCTCTGAAGAGGATTCCAGCTGATACTATTTTAAAGCAGCCATTCTCAAACTTTTTTGGCCAGAGCCATAAATATAATGTGAAAGAACTACAGTGGTGCCTCGACTTGTGACCTTAATCCGTTCTGGAACGATGCTCGTAACTCGAAGTGGTTGTAAGTTGAAGCGCAATTTCCCATAAGAATGCATTGAAGTGTGATTAATCCGTTCCAGGTGGAAAAAAAATAAAAAACAAAACTTAACACAATACTGCAAGCCTAATATGAATGTGTTGGGGCCGAGGGAAAAAATCACCAATAACACACAAACAAAAAAACCAATGCAAGCCCCATTGGAACGCGTTGTGGCAAAAAACACAAACATTATAAGACGATGTGTGAAGACTTGTTTCCAGTCTGTGGCCCCCTTCAAATGTGCCATGGACCCCACCTCCTCGGGGCCCTATAGCCACTGATGAGAATGGCTGCTTTCAAGGATTTGCAATGCTCTCTGGGGGCATTGCTCTCACCAGTGCTTGCCACCCATCGGGCACGTCACCATTTCTTCTTTATCTCTTTTTCTAGATATCCCAACAAACTGAAGCAAAGCTGTGAGACACCCAGAAATTGGTGTGGCGTGGCCTCTTTTGGAGCCCTGGAACAGAGGCCTTTTCCTGCAAAAAAGGGACAAGGTCAAGAGGAGGGTTTGGGGAGGTGGACTTTGACCCAAGACAAAATGGCGGCTGAACAGGAGATGCAGCCCCTTGTGAGTTCCCAGTTCCCGGCTGCAACTGAACAAAATGTGAAGCATGCGATCAAGACGGAGGAGGAAGAGCAGTTTGGTGCTGTGGCTGCCGAGAGCCCTGAAGATGAAGGAAATATCAGGGAATGCCTCTCCAGATGGCCGGAGCAGCAGGTCCAGCCGGAGCCGGGGGAGAGGCTGCTCCGGCAGTGGGAAGACCAGTGGCAGGGCTTCCTGAAGACCGTGGAGTCTCCCTCTTCGTCCGAGTGGGAGAGGCCAGGGCTGCCGGACGCGTCGGCCCCGTGGGGCGATGCCCAGGCCTTCCTGGCCTCCTTCGAGCAAGTGGCCGAGGCCTGCTTGTGGCCCAAGGAGGAGTGGGCGGCCCGACTCCGGCCAGCCCTCCGAGGAGAAGCGGGCCAGGCCTTCGTCCGGCTGGAGGCCAGGGACCGAGAGGACTACGGCAAGGTGAAGGCGGCCCTCCTGCGCAGAGAGGCTCTGCGGAGAGAGAAGACCCGGCAGCACTTCCGGAGCTTCGGCTACCGGGAGGCCGAAGGGCCGCGAGCGGTTCACGGCCGGCTGCGGGAGCTTTGCCGCGGGTGGTTGAAGGTGGAGAAGCACACGAAGGAGCAGATCCTGGAAGAGCTGGTCCTGGAGCAGTTCCTGGCCGTCCTTCCGCCGGAGGTCCAGACCTGGGTCAGGGGACACGGGCCCGAGACCGGCGCCCAGGCGGTGGCCCTGGCCGAGGACTTCCTGGGGAGGCCTTGCAAGTCGGAGAGGCTGGAGCAGCACGTAAGGGAATAAATACTGTCAGAACGTAATTGACTCTGTGAATCCTTGGAAAGTCCGTCTGTATTCTCAGTAATTCATTCCCACTAGTGTTACAAAATCCTCTTTCTCTCATGTGTTTTGCTGCTTTCTCAAACCCTAACAAGAGAATGTATGATATATTTGTTATTTACATTTGTATGCTGTTCTTCTCTACCTAGAGACCCAGAATAGCACACAACAC